TTTTTTTTTTTTTTTTTTTTTAACTAAGGCTTTACTTTGATGTCTTGTGTTTCTCACTCTTCTAGTTATTAGCCTGATCATATTTTCCAACCTTTCAAACCAAACTGGAGTCTTACAACCATTAGACAACCATTAGGAAATGGTTCCAGTGGAGGTTTTAACCTTGAAAGGTACTAACAAAAGAACCCAATGTGGCATTTTGGTTCTATATTAAATTATTAAGCTTTGAATTAATGATCCTGTGGACAGACTACTTTAGCTATGAGAATGTCAACTGGTTATACTGTGTCTGCTTAAAATACCTGAGACGATTATGTACTACATTTTCCAAGAACAATAATTGGTCCTTAGAACCACTTGAAGCATCTCTGAAATTACTCACACACATTAGGCTCAAGGAATAAACAGCCTGACAAAAAGCACACAACACATTTCAGATTACTGAAATTCACATTTACTCAGAGAAAGACATTAATCTTATCATGATTCATATGAGCTACCAGTATCCCAATGTAGGATGTAGGTAGAAGGCTACTAATTTTGAATCACAGCATAGCCTTGCAAACCCCTTTTCCATTGTGCCAATAAGCATACTAATCAATCACTAATAGTTCCTAGTTCTCATAACAATTATTTAAACTATAAGCTTGAAATTCAAGTTCCTTTTTTTTTTTTTTTTTTTTCTTTAAACGTATGTCTTGTGGTCAAACCCATGTTAGTTTTTAGACAGCAATCTCAGGTACCCTAGCATTATACATCTTGGCTCAGCTCAAGCACTTACACCTTAATTTAACTTCATGGGTAGCTTCACTTGAATTTTACAACCTGAGTTGAATTCTGTGCTACCACAGCCATGCTCATCAGATACTTAATCCAATACCATTTGTGCTTACATAACTTGCAACCATACAGTCTTTCAAAGAATATATGTGTACCCTTACTACAAGCCATGAAAAGCAAATTCTCTTCAACTTAAAAAAAAAAAAAAGGCAACCACTTTTTCCCACTGTCTGTTGTGGCTCTGACTTCAGGAGGTCCATGTCTCTGATCATGACATCATCACTCCGCAGTTTTTCCAGATGGTCACGAGTCTGATCACCAAGACTGTTGATTATAAGGAGCCAAATACCAGCATCTTAGTCACAGAAATTCCTCATACTCATAAAAAGTGAAAATACTCCTTAGACTTATACAGCACTAAGTGGTGCATTTACTTCTCTTTTTATAAAGCTCTGATTTTCTGTATAAGCCATTGATCTTGTTAGCCTTTTTATTTGTTTCAAGACCACCCAGGCCCTTGCATGCAAGAATCTGTTTTGAAAGCCAAGGAGGCCAATACAGCTGGTTTTAACCATGTCAGCGCCAAGTCACATTCAAATGGATTTCCTTCTCCATGCACAAAAGCATCTATTTTTAAAAACTGTAAAACTGCAAACATCTGGGAGTGCTTACAGTCCTAGTAATCCCTATATAGTATATGTTGTCATCACTGATAGAAATTCCCCCTTCCTTGACCGTATGCCCAAAGAACACAACTTCTTTTTGAAGCTGCTCTCCTTTATTTGAGCTTAATTTCAGATTTTTCGCCATAAATTTATTACAGATTATTAGGAATATTTCAGTTCTGGAAGTTTCTACTATGCAACACAAAGTCATCCTACTATGTTATAAATACAGAGATATGTCACAGTGTATTCTTCATTACCTCTTTCAGCTCTTGCTGAAGAAACAAACTACAAATAGGAGTCAGGGCTAGTGAACACTCATGCTTGATACATTTCTTCAATAACCTCCAACAATTCTTTCTTCTCTGATGGGTGTACATGGTCAAACGGCTACTGAATTAGCATTCTTCAGAAAACAGCTCCCATCCATTTCATTCATCTTGTCTTTTCTGTTTCTTTAAAAAAACCCACTATCAATGTCCTGGAACAGGAGGTTTTTTTGTAACTCTTGTTTGGTTTTTTTTTCCTAGTCCCACTTTTACCAGATCCACATCTTCATGCACACACCAATCTTCCCCCTTTTTGAGTATTTATTGTTTGTGAGACTTATTTGGCAAACAGGGAGCTGTTTCTATTTCAAGGAATTCTGCTATTTTCATCCCATTAAAAAAAGCTTCAAGACAAGACTCAACAAATCCCTCCTCATCACTGAGCTCCTATCCATTACATCTAGTTGCCATTATGGTTTTTATCCCTGAAGCCAAGAAACTGTTCACTGAAACAATGACTGTGAAAGCATACCGCTTTCATGCAATTTGCCTCACCTAGCCCACACCTGCATGAAGAACTTTCATGGATGAAATTTTAGGATGCTTTCCCTGCCACTTATGAAGCAATTATTTATCACAGTGGAATCCAAACCAGCTATTACTTCAAACCTTACTTTTTCTTTCCAACTTTCTTCTTCAAATTTCAGAGGTCAAATCTGCAGGCTCAGTTACCATGGTTTTGAATAAATGCATGTTTATTAATCACAGCTTAAATAATTTCAACCAGTTAGAAGGATTTACATTGTGTCAGGGAGCAGCAAGGGTCAGCTGCTCCCTAAGGGAAGCCATGCCTCAAGCTAAGGATGACCCAGTGCGGGCAATGCCCTTGGTGACCAGGGCACAGTCCCAGTCCCACCACATCTGAACACAGTACACAGAGCATAGAGCACATACTTACAGGTAACAGGGCCCTCTGGCAGTCCTAGACAAGGTAAAGTGATGAACCAGGTCCAGAGTCCCTGCAGGCAGTCCCATCAGGAGCAAAAAGAGACAGACAGGACAGGAGATAAGGTTACAACACAGATCCAAAGTCAATCAAGAAAACAAAGACAAGACAAAAAACAAGCAGTGAAGCACATCTAAAGGCATCCATTCAGGAGACAAGCTACCTATAACACAGGCCTGAGGTCCCTCCAGGAGTCAGAAGCATAACTACAGCATAACTTGAGACACATCTAAGTCCTAAACTTGAGCTGAAATGGGGCTTCTGGGGCAGTGGTCTGGGCAGGGGCCCCAGTTGCAGCTGGTTAGAGCTTTTGGTGCTCTCACAGCCCTGCTATTTTGTAGTTTCTATTGATTCCCTACACGTTTACTACTTGGATTTCATTTTTATCACGTCTACTAACAGTTTTCCTTGCCTAAAGTCACCATCCCAGTGCACTTCACAGCCAGATCTATGTTACTACTCTCCAGCTGCCTAGACAGAACTAAAATTTTAGGGTCACTCTTGCAGTTTTATTTGCTGCTTCTATTTTATTATCCTTCCATTTCTCCAGCAACTGAATGACTTTCATATCTGACACTTGTGACTATGAGCTCTACCCAAAATTTTATAGCTGGTTTTTGTGTCCAGGTCATTTTTTGTTTTGTTTTCCACAGAACAATCAAATAACTGAGTTTGGGTTTTTTCTCTTAATTTTTCATTACTGCTAAAGTGTTGGCAATAGCTCTTGGACATGTTTTTTCTTGCCCCTGGTTTAGAAGAGCACCTCAGAGACCTTTACAAGATCTGGGTAGCCCAGTATCTTTCATAGGTTGTCATCTGCCATGCAAGCAGAGCTTGGCCAGACAAACTGCCAGGAAAAAAAAATCAATTCCTCCAGCTCCAGTCTTTACATTCACTTATTCTGACCAACTTGGAAAATGCAATACTGTTCAAGTGAACTATGATGGTCTTCCTCAATCTTTTACCAGACTGACCTTCTGAACTTTCCATGGGCTGCAAACCCAGCAACACACGTTAGAGTTGTCTGTTCTAACTCAGGCATGGCACTTGCCCAGTCCCACATCCTATCAGCTAGTTTCTTCTAAAGCCTGTAGCTCCTCCATTTGCTTAGTGTGTGATTTGATTGCTCTCTGAGTTCAAACTGAAGCTCCCTTCTCTTTAGTGGTAATGTGTTTGCCAGTTACTACCATGATTTACTCCAGTTTAGTCCAACATATCACTGAACACAGATCACCAGTTTGCTCCTTGGAAACTGGATCCCATTTCATGCACTTGCACAGGATTTTTTCACTAAGAAGTTGTCTGACATTTACCTATCTGTAAGTTGGCTCTATTACAAGTCACAGATGATGGGCTCACAATACCTTAGTTTAATTAGGAATAAATGTATGAAGTAAAATGGCATGAATTAATTTCCTTTATCACAAGCCCAAGTCTCTTACAGACCTTTGCTGTAAATGTTTATGCCAAACTAGCGTTCCCTTTTAAATGTATGACAATTGCCCAACTTCTCTTTCACTTCTTTCTCTGCCTCGCTCTTTAGTCAATGCAGCAAACCATGTATCTTGGTCAACTCCTTGAATATGCCTTTGACTTGCACTTAAGTCTCAGTTGCACTCAGGTGTACCACTGCATAAAGTTTAAGCCATTCCTTGTATGTCTCTGACATGCATGTTTGCAAACAAAAACGTCAGTGAAGTTCTACCTGACTCACTACAACAATTTAGTAATAAATTAAGAGAGCAATCACATAACTTACATTACATAGTTGTGAATCTGTTCATAAAGCCTAGACTAACGCTTTAATTTCCACAACTGATGTTCACAGTATACCACACTCAAAAGTGAAAAGCCAAGCTGTGCTTGCACCTTCTGGGTGTCACCATCCCAGGCAACTCCTGGTGTCTTTGTAATGTTCTCTTCCACAGTGTCGGAGAATCTTCACATCTTCTCCGTCCCACACAAACCTCCAATGCAAGTCCATTAAAAACCCCCAAATCTCAGCTATCTTCTCAGTGCTACAAACTCACCATTAATATTGCCTAGCAGGTGTAATTTAAGGCCCAAGGTCTTTACTCCTGGATGTATTTACTTTACTCTTACGAAGACGGCCGGTTTCTTACATCACTGAAAGCGGGAGATGTTTGTCCAAGGGACAACCTGACAGGAGCGGATGGAGAAACACGCGATCGAGGGTGCAACTTTTTGGCTCTGCTCCGCGGCAGGGCCGGCGCCGGCGGGAGGGCGGAGGGGCTGTGCCCAGGCGAGGAGCT